TATATATATATATATATAGTGGAGGATGCCCGGGCGCGAGAGACGCCCGGAGAGTTACAGACAGAGATTACGGTTCATCGATAGGAGGTGCAGTGTTACGCGGGGCATTACGTGGGTAATACTTGCTTCTTGATATCTCGCCGCCGCGCGTCTGCCGTGCCAGGGTATTTCCTCCCGAGCTTTCGGATCTCCGATCTCCCGCCTCGGCCTCTTTTCTTCCCTCGACCCTCCGCGTCGCGTCGCGCCGTTCCGTGGTGCCGCTTCTCGACCTAAACTCCCTTTCCTTTCTCGTCCTCTAACTCTTTTTTCCTCTTTCTTTCCTCTTCTCTTTCCTTTTCTTTCTTTTTTTCTTTCTGTCTTTCACTTCGCCCTCTCTTCGCCTCTATCTTTCCTCTTCTCTCTTTATCTTCTTTCTCGCCCACAGCTTCACTTAATCTTCTGTGCGCGATCCTATTGATATCGCGTGGTATGATATCTCTCTTTGCTTTCGCCTCGCGGCCTTCTCCCGGGGGAACGTCTGTGAATGAAAGGGGATGTCCTCCGACGCGTTCGGTCCTCTTTGCATGCGAGCGAGCTTCTCTTCTTTTTACTGCTCCGCTTTCCTCAGCGGACACCCAGGTTTCTGACTGAAGCTACCGTTCCTCTGACTGAAGCGACGTTCGTCATGCATCACGCTATCTCTTCCTCTCCTGCTTGATCGTCGCGCGCCACGGAAAGACCTATGTTCGCCTCGACAGTAGCACCCTAGTGGCACCCCGTGCGATCATACCACGTACGACGTCGTCCGATTACCCACGGTACGGCGCGATTCATTCACTGACATCTTCGTCGCTCACCACGATCCGCTTCCGTATGGTCGTTCATATATGGGCGTGTAATGTCGTGCGCGCGCGCGCTCTCGTCCGCTCGCTCGAGCTGAATGTACGTGCGTGCGTGAGAGAGTGCGTACGTGTACGTGTGGTGTCTGACGTTATGCTAAAGGTATGGGTCGTAATCACCGCGATGTCACCGCGAAGTCACCGGGACAAATCTTCCAGGTTGTTCTAATGCTCGTTTCTAACTAACGCAGTTATGCACCCCCTTCCGTCTCTCTTCCTACCCCTACTTCTTTTCTCTCTCTCTCTCTCTCTCTCTTTCTTTCTCTCTTTCTTTTGTCTTTCCTTTCTCTAGGCCTGTAACACCGGTCTTTTACGATGATGTCTGGTCTGCGACTATAATCGCGCGGCGTATTTCAAAGGTTAAAGGCTGTTTCCCGCGGTTGCCCGACTTCCCGTGCTGACGTCGCCGACGATCTCGACCGGCCGCGCCGGTGTTCCATTGAGCGACGAGAAACGTTTCCTCTCTCTCTCTCTCTCTCTCTCTCTCTCTCTCTCTCTCTCTCTCTCTTCCTCTCTCACTTCGTCTCCCACGATGCGTAACTCTTTCCGCTCACCCGACCTCGGCACGTCGCGCGACAGCACCGCTTCTCGTTGATGCACACCCCCTCGCGAACGCCGTCGTTGACGCGCTTGCACTGGAGGAGATCCTCGCGAGGGTGCCGTGCGACGAGTGGCCGACTCGCCCCTTTTCTTTACGGCGCGGAAGTAGGTGCTCTCGACCGACGGGAAGAGACGACGGAATCGAATGGTGAGGAGGTTGCGGCCGTGGATGGTTGCTTTGTTGGTCGAAGGTCGAGGGATGTGGAGGATCGAAGGGTTGGGACGGTGGGTTACTTCGGTGAGTGAGCTGCCTGGCGCCCTCACCAGAACTAACTCCCACGCTGCGCGGCGAGGACCCGGCGCTTTAATACAACGCGCATTCTCCCGGCGCTACCCCTCTTCTCTGACACCAGGGTGAGCGACGACGGGGTGGCTTTCGCCCCTTCTTGCCTCTCACCTGGCCTCGCCTCGCCTCGTCTCACCTCACCCTCACCTCGCCACGTCTCGCCTCCATCCCGGCCGACGCGCCCATGAACGGATTAAAGCTGCCGCGAGCCCTAAGCACCCCCGGACCGTACACCCTGCGACTTCATATGACGTTTCACAGCGATACGGTCAAAGGTGATGTGACCATCATCAGTGGCCACCATCCAATCCACGATCCATTCGTATGACAATTTTGAACTGCTCACAAATATAGGACGTCGTATTGTCGCCGGCTAATACTGTTCGTGACTCGTTCGAGCATATCATTCAGTCCCTACATAGCTCGAAATGAAAGATGCATGGAAAGTAGAAAAATGTCAATTCTCTCTGACGGAGAGAAGGTGATATCTGGAAATATCTAAGGGGGAATGTCTATAGTTTCGGTGTCTCCTCAGTCAACGAATAGTCGTTCTGCTCCTTCCCGCTGTTAAAGCGGAGATCGCAAAATCAAAAGCTAGAATGAAGGATCCCGGTCCGACCTTCGCTATCCTGTAAAATCCACCCCTACCCGTTTTAGTCAGCCGGGCTGGGTGCCTCGCCGTGCGCACCTAATCGTAACCGCCCAGTTTCTATCTCTTCTCATGTAGCCATCACCTGACGCACGTTCTTTCGATCACTGTTTGGCTACGCATGTCGTAAGGTCCTGCCTACGTTTGCGGGAGATCGTCTCAGTCTCTTGATAATACATCAGTTGCAGCTTCGTAGGAGTGTTTGCGGATGACGTTAGTCGATCTGAAGTTCCCCCCCGAAAGACACATGTAATTGACTGCCGTTCGAATTACCTTGACTTTCATGATCCAGGGACAGTTTTCATTAATTAATCGTTCGGTTTTATATACTCGGTTCATATCTCTTCCATTTTGTTAGCTAATGGTTACACCTTCGGTATTTACTGCCATAAATTAACGTACGTGACGTAAAATACACACAGCATGACGACACATTCATTAGATTTGGAATTCTCGAAACTCATACAAACATTTGTAACGCGTGTACTAATTATTTTAGCATATTTACTGGCGCAATTTTAATATCTATTTAAGGAAAGACTTGAAAAACGTTAGCTTCTTTTACTGATTATTTTATTCAATTACGATTTAATTAATTAAATATAATATGATTTAAGAGAAGAGAAAAAATGAGAAGTAAGAAATTTAATTAATATAAAAATTTAAATAAGGTTTGATTATATTTGTCTATACAGATTCAAAGAAAAAACGTCAGGTAAAAGAGCAAACAAAGTATATTTAATTCTCAATAGTTCGTAACAAAAAGTTGTTGATGCATAAATAACTATCACTTTTTTTTTAGCATGTATTGATATTTATAAGAAAAGCACAAGTATAATTCTGGGACACTCCGTGTACAATAAATGAAGGAACGAAATTTTTAGTACCTACTGGACAACGTCGACCTCTTATTTACATATCTCTTTTTATTCCCGTCGCATCGATTCAAAGTTCATTTATTTATAACTAGTTTCGTAGGAAAGATAGAAAATTAATGATGGTTCGTCGTACGTTCAAACAAATAACTATAGCGATTTACGTTCATCGTTCGGAAATAGATTTATCTGGTAAAAAAAATTAACATATAATTCTTGCGGAGTGTGCTAATTAATTTTTCTACAGTGTACAATTATTGCAACGTTCTTTTTTCCTTAAGAAAAAACATGAGATATACGAGTATATAAGGAATATCTTTCATTGTAGACGCGTGCAATAAATATAATATTATACGATACGTAAATACGATATTGTTATGCAGGTGATATAAATAAGAAAAAAAACATTATCTCTGGAGTATATGTCATAACGAGTTTGACATATACATCACTAATAAGGTAAATTATATAGTTGTGCAACCTTTTAATTACATAGGCGTTATAGGCAAACTTATATGTTCTCGATAACTTTTAATGAGATACTCGCCTACTGAACCTCCAGAGACTCAGATGTTGCAAATAATAAGTTTTGGATTTAACCGTAATACTGCGCAGATGAGTTGTGTACGCAGTTTTTTTTACAACAAATATCTCTACGAATATTTATACGCTCTTTGCTCTCTATTATTTTCTTCTTTATTGATAAATAAAATTTTCAAAAAAAGAGAAAAAAATTGTTTTGGACGTACTGAACTAAAACGAAAAATGTTTTGTTTATCTGATACGATTAATGAAAACAATAGAACTATTTATGTCATAATAAAATAATCGGATGCATTTCTCACACAGAGATAAACACGAGTGCTAAGTAGTAACATAGAATAGCTTTTGATAATCGACTCTTCGTCGTAAATGAAGATACTGTTATAGAAAACGCGGCAAAATATTAAATTCTGCTATTGTTTAATAATTTTTTTATTTTGAACAGTAATAATATATTATTACTGTTAATATATATTTAAACCAAATGTTTTTCAACCCTCTATGGAAATATAGAAGTCTATTCTCGAGCAAATTAAAGACACGTGAAAATTATTTAATAAAAATAAAGACATACTCGCATTAATATTTAGTTATATTAAATAAAATAGTCTTATATTAATAATGATTTTCGTCATGCATACACATCACATTAAAGGAAGAAAATAAAGATCCTCCTTTTGGACAAAATATGTACAAGACTTGACAAAGACACAAACAATTGCACAAAATACCAAGATCCTCTAATAGAAAAAAGTAATATTTCAATAAAATTAAATCAATACATAATTAAACCTACAAACCCTCTTTTACCCAGCTATACGAACTACCAAAAATACACAAACTGTGTGTGCATGAACACTTCCATTGTGATCATCATAAATTCCCCAATATATGACTTTTCGTATTTTCTTGTTCAAAATCTACACAAACTCTGATAGGAAAAACCGAATCACATATCAACTCGACGGATTTTATACAGAAAATTAGAAATTACTTTCTGGAGACATGCTAGAGAGCCTTGATGTAGACTCCCTCTTTACATGTTCCAATCAAAGACATACTAGATATAACCATATGAAAAATTATCTTCTTAGTTTTTGAAAATTAATTGGCCGAAAGTAATCGCCTTCATCACAGTTTCAGCGATTTCCTCTTCCATCATATTATCTGTCCTCTTTCCTGCCTTCTTTCCCCTTCTCCCTTAATAACATACATAAAGAGAATATTCCAGAGAGGCAGCTCAATATCAGATTGCTTCTCACCTTGATGAAGTAAACTACCGTGTTTACAAAATGTTAGCATTTAACGATGTATCAAAATACGGAAATAACAAATGCAAATCGTGCAGCTTTTTTTAAGAAAATATCCGGAAGCTTTAAAAGTATAATTAATATAATGATCTTTAATATCTCGTAATAATATCCTATATTTATAGTTATTTTAACTTTTTTTTTCCACTACTAGAGAGAGAGTATACTTTTTTCATCAACAGCATTTAAAAAATAAAATATTAGTCGATATTTAATAGAAAAATATGTGAGAGAAATTTGTATTTTTAACAAATAATTTCTGAATTATATTCAATAATTTTCTTCGATGTATTTTAACTGATATATTAACTTTGTAACATAATTACAATAATTTTAAAGCTTGAACAATCACACGCAAGCGTATTCAAAGAAACGTATTGCCGACTAAAATCTATGACCGAAATGAAACTGCTGTATCAAAGTTTTACGTCAACTCAACCTTTTCGTTGTTGCTGATTGCGTATTCGTGATGCACTCAAGCATACTCGAGAGCATACATGGTTGCACATCAATAGGAGTCGTAAACTTTGCTTGAAAACGATGATAGAAACGTAGATTGTGTGTTCGTTGGCCCGATAGCCTCAGTATTGATATTTTAAAATTCACATAACCAAATGCCTGTATTCTGTCAGAATACGCTTCTCTGATTTTCAATAATACCATGTTATTATACATTGGAATATCAGACAATCTAAAAATAGTTCGGCGTGTTATCAATTATTA